GTATGCAATCAGTTGTCGCTATGATGATGTGCAAAAAAATTGCGAATATGGATATACCCTAGACATGCCTTAAAATTTTTTGCCAAGCATTTAAAGAAAAAAACTGCTGTTAAGAATCATTAATTCTAAGTTTTTTTATCAATAAACATCCTGGACATGACAGCAAACAATAAGAACCAATTTTTATCATTTTGACATCGACGAAACATGTCATTAAGGTAAAACTACAAACACACGTCCGTGTCAATTTTGCGATAAAAAAACTGCAATAATCAATAAAGCTGCATGAAGCCAAGAAAATTGGAGATTTAAGAACAATAACAAGGAATTTTTTCGTATAATTTGTTATTTTGCGGCACATCTAACCTTAACAATACAATCTGCAAACCAAAATATTCTTCTTTTTATTTAAAGAGAGGCATTAGTAGCATGTGCTTGGTATAATAGATTATAATGATGGAAGCATTCAATTTATAAATTTGTTAAGTTTGCAACCGTTCGTATTATATAATATTGATAAAAATAGAAACCGAACGTGCGAAATGTCAAGGATTATTAGGTCTAATTGGTTGCTTACTGTTCAGGAAGTTTGAATAGGCGTAGAAAATTAGATAAATTTATAGTGAACAATAGAACTGTCGTTTTGAATGAATTGTAGATTTTTGATGTCAAAATCTTCATTTTTTATTGATTGATCTCAGCCATTCATTCAGTTGATTACCAAATTTAGCATTTAATAAATTTTTTAAATGACTTTTATCAGTAGCTTAGAAGGATAATTGTGTCATGCAAATTGTCTAGGTTTAGGAGCTCATAAACCTCATTTAAAGATAAACCTTAGTAATATTACCATAATAATTTTATTTAATATACCTTACAACATCCATATCCTCAAACATCAATTAAAATATTTTTTACGCTTTTCTAAAAAAATCCAAAACAATAACAAGAAGTTCCAATGCATAGCAAATAAAATAATGAAAAAAAAATTTGACGCTTTAATTTATTGAAACATCAATTCAGTGTCAACAAAATTGAATTGAATTATTTCAAATAAGATCTCATAAAGCAGAACCTTGAAATTAATTAAAGAATTATTGAGCATGCCAGCATAAATACATGAGAGCCTTCAGCCCATCACTTGTAATTATTTTCACTGTAAATTTTATTCATCTTCATATTGCTACACTTTAGTCTTTTTCTTTTGTTTCGATGCTTCATCTTCTAGAAAAAAGTGAAGTCATTGACATTATCGTCATCAACCATCAGCGCTGGACAGAAGCGTGAGAGAAAAAAAAATTGACAAATTAAAAATTGGATCAAGTTCAAAATGGTAACGATGAGCATCGTTGCTTTTAAAGAGAGTAAGTCCATTTAAGACTTTATTTGCTTGGTCATTAATTTTTACACATTAAGCAAATGTTCAAGTTGAGTATTAATTTATTTTGGGTGCATAAATCTTATTTAAATGGGAATTATTGAGACAAAATTCTTTTTGGGTGATTTAATGATGGTTTTGTGCAATCTGGTAGGCATCTACTGTTATAAGCTGTTTAAATGATTAAAGAAATCAAGGAGAAATTTTTGAAAAATTTGTTATCTTTTGTATTGGTCTTTAATAGGTCATCTTTATTAAAAAATATTTAAAAGCAGTTCAAAGAACTCAGCAAAATCCACCAAAAAATATACATTGGAATCAAATTATTAATTTCAATATTAAGGATTAAGATAAATTTTAATCCACACAAGACCATAAATATTCAAATTGCTAATGAAAAAATATTAAACTGCAGTAAATCAACAATTTTTCATGAAACAAACTTTAAGTCCACAGAAAAAATTAATAGTGACAAATTAGATTTCATTAAAGGCCTACGCTTATGCCTCGTGCTATGTTAACAATAAATTTGGTTTCAGTTTTTTCATCGATGCCGTTAATTTTTCTTGAAATATATAATTGCATGCTCAAAGAGCATATTACATGCAAAAAGGAACGTAAATGTTAACATAAATGCAGCAGAACTAAAATATAACTTAATAATTACATGAAATAAACTCACATTCATATTTATAAATCAATAATTCGGGCCAATCAATTTATCATCAATTATAGGAGACATAATATGGGAAACACAAAAGTGAGGAACTGGACAAAGGGTCAATAAGAGATAAAGAGATGATAAAAGAAAAAAATGAATGAACGCCTCCTTTATTGAATTTTAAAATGCCTCTAAAAAATACATTGTAGTACGATACCTACAAATTAAGCTGTTTTAAGTAATTTTCAATTGAGTTAATCCACAAAACTGATCTTTTTTGAATGTTGCTTTATGTTGTTTGCAACTTGGATGAGAAACTATTTTAGAAGTAGAATTCTTAAAAGCTAGAAGCCAAAATACAAAATACCGAAATACTTAGATGGGTTAAATTTCAAAAGATTACAAATATCTCCCCAAAATTCCTATAAATTCCAAATTAAAATTCCAAGCATAAAAATTCATTACAAAATAATTTTTGATGACAGCTTTTTGTAGACACAACTTTCAATTATAAAACAAATGTAACAATTTCTTCAATTTTTATTATCCACCAATTAATTCACTAAAAGAGCAAATAAAAAATCAAATGAGATTCCAAGGCGACATAATAAGCCAGTCCCTCGAAAAATGAGCTTTTATTTAATAAATTCATCACAGTTGTTGATTTAGCAAAACAACACGGCAAAACTATTAAATTTATATTTTTTTGAAAGTACTTAACATTCTATCACATAATAGTTGCAACAAGCAGCGAGCAGCATCGCATTTTCGTCCATTGTGAGAGAAAGGAAGACTTTATGGTGTATAGTGTGTAATCAAAAGACATCAATCATCTCAAGTTGCATAGCGCGACTCAAAATATGATTTACTTTTTCTAACGAACAAGATTTTTTTTTGTTTCTCGTGTGGCGTAAAACTATGCTGTAGTGCCGCAGCTGTAAAAGTTTCGGTGATGAGAAAAATTAAAAAGTAACAAAAATTACCAGTCATTGTTACGATGCACATTTATTACAGGTTTGTTGTTGCCGTTATTATTAGCATTACCAAATTCATCCCATGTCCTCAAAAAAAACAAGCTACACTTTAAAAAAGAAGAAGTTTTTGAGACTTAATTATATTATTATGTTGCATTAGATCACTTTGTAAATTATAAATTATCGTCGCTGGTGGACACACTCACAGTAGCTGGAGAGATTTAATACAAGAAATCACCTAAGTTGGCAATTAAAAGCTCGTTTGGTGTTCATCGCATGATGATAAAAGTTTTTACGGCTTGATAATTGTTTTCGATCATGTATGACATTTATGACAAAGTTTTGTGCTGTGAATGTTTAAGTCAATGAGAAAGGTGTTTGGGTCAGTGGTTTGTCTGGGGGTTTGGCACAGTTGTGTTGATAAGCCTTGGATAAATGTGTTTTTTGTAAGCTTTCGTAACTAGGTAGATACTAAACCATTCTAATCATCCAATCAGGACGTCAACCTACCTAATGCTCAATTGCTTCTAAAAGAAAAATAATGTGATCTTCACTTTCATCACAAATTGACTCACACAATCGATTTAGTTTTTTAAAACTTAATGCGACAGTGAAAATGTTAAAAACATTAGAGCATAATGTCGAAAAAAAGGTTTACATCAATAATAGATTTTTTTGTTATTGTAAGCATATAAAAAGTTATTTGTTAGAAGTAAATTACTGTCAGTAAGCTATGAGATGATTAATTTTGAAATGATAAGTGCTTAATGAGACGGGACCGGTACTTGTAAATGAATATGTATGACACACGTAATACTGCCCTGGAGGGAAATTGTAATTTGAGATTGAATCTTCACTTCTGAATGCAATTGAGTGATGTGATGTAGATTTTTGTCGTTAATGCATTGTGTATGGATATGGAATTTTTTAATGACGCGTGTAGATTTTTGAGCTCAAAATTCGTTATTGTTCATTTTGTTATGAAACACGAGTGGACTATTTATTTCCATTTTCGTACTCTAATTTGGTATGTCTTGTATGGTCTACCAATAAGAAAACTCTTGTAGCAATCCTTTGTTGTATTTAAGCCATCTTCATGCATCATTAAGAGCCTTGCCAGTAAAAAAAACGTTCAACTTGATTAACAGCAATTATCAGATTTCTGATAGTAATTGAAAATGCAATTATCAATCCGGATTCAAAAACCTTAAAATAATGTCGACAAACTAGACGATTTTTATGATTTGCTTGTCTTGCAGAATTAGCAAAAGGTTATTTTGGGTTTGCGATGCCATTTTTTTAATGATAAAAATTCCACCCACATTGTCCTTCTCTTTTGACTTTTGTTCAGTATTTTTTATGCTTTACTTTAGACTGACTGGAAATCCCAATGATTTTGTATAAAATTTTCATCATTACCATTTAGAATTAGTCACTAGTGGCGTTAAAATGCTTATTTATCGAGGTAATAATTTTTTCAATATAAAACAAAAGTTTCCGACACAACTCGGTCACCTTTATGACTATTTTAAAGGAAGTCATTTAAAATATTTCAAAGAACATTTATGTTCAAGCCCAACTTAAAATAAACTGAAATCCTCAAAATATTTTTCAATAATTAAATTCTTCAATAATCCAACCAAGATTCAACTCACTCTCTTATTAATTCCTCGCCTTATTTCACTCTCAATTTTCCTCTCAATGCACTTCATCAGCTGGCAGATAAACAGAAACATCCGAAAACATTAGCTCAATGCTAAATTCACAAGAGATGCGAACAACATGCAACAAACTTTTGATTTCATTGAGAAATGACAAAAAGATTTTGAGTCTGCATCGTTGCTGTTGATGCCTTTGAGATGGACTGAGAAAAGTGTTTTTAAGTTTTTTTTTGCGCGAGAGAGAAGACGTAAAAAATTGAGAGTAATATTGTTTTTTTCGCGGTATGATCATTGTTGCTGCTGCCGCACGAGACGGACTCATCTATAAAAGACATGAATTCGCAAGCCTGCGGCTCATTCATCGTGTTGAATTTTAAGCGACATTTGCGTTTTTTCTCAATTTTTAAAGTTCGAATTTTATTTTTTATTTCTGTAAAGTGAGTTGATTTTTTTTTTTAAATTTCACTTACAAAAAGGAATTTGACTTAAAAGAAAAAAATTTAAAAAATTATTTTTTGGTGAACTTTTTTTTATGGTTGCGTGTGCTAAAAGTGTACGTGCATAACAAGAAGTGACAATTTCTTCTAAAAAAGGCAAAGTGAAAATTGCAAAAAATTCGTACAAATAAAATTAACATCAAATTAAGTTGAGAAAAGTTATTGGTGTTTTTTTTTTGTTTGGGGAGGTGACAGCAATAATTTTTCAGAGCAAAGTAAGCATAAAGTTTTTAAAATTATTATTTTTGTTGAAAAATTTGTTGGATTTTAAGTTTGAATGGTAATAATTGAATACATAAGTTTTCGTCGAGAATGAAATTAAGGAGCTTCTTTAATTGTTTTCAACCTTTAAAACTATTTTAAGCAAAATTCGTTGAATGAAATGTGAATGACTTAAAAATAATTTGTAATGTTTATAATTCAAGACTTTAATAATTTTAAAAACATTACAAGGAATTTTCAAGATTTTTCAAAAATTTAAATTCGTAAGTTTTTAAAAGTTCTTTAAGTTATTGTTTGAAACAAAAAATTCTATCAAATTTAATTTTAATTCCCTGGGTTACGAAAGATTTCCAACGAGTCGAATATCCCCTCTAAGTTTCTTAAATCCTATTTTAATTACACATTTTTATGACATAACATGTCATCATAAAATCCACAAAAGAATTAATTTCTAAATCCTATGAGTTAGATCTTAAATTATAGCTTCATATATGTCAAATTATGATTGACAGAAAAAGGATTTAAAAACGCCACAGGACAAATTAAATAACAAACTTATAATTTACATTCAATTATTTATTCTGTATTTGCTAATGGAAGCTCACGATCTTTTTATAAATTAAGCTGAGTCATTTAAATAATAACATCAGCTCTCTACATGAGTTATCTAAAGTAATTCCATACCACATTCAATAATTCCTCATAATCTCATTGAGAAATATAAATTTTATCCGACTTACATGAAAATAGGACACAGTCCATAAGAAATTAATAATTCCGATAAATAACAGCAGAAAATAGAACTCATAAATTCCGCAAAGTAAAAGTCAAGCAATTTATGACATGCATGACTAAATATCCTGGATTATTCGACTTAATACTCATTCACAATGTTTTTTTTTTCACCTCCAAAGGCATGTCCACCTAGTTACAGACATTAAATAAATGAGATTTTCAAAGAAAGAAATGAGATGAAATAATTTATGAAACTGAATTGAATTGAATGGAAGCGTTTGGAATTTTTCTTGATGAATTAATTTATTTTACTGTTTCGCACTGGAAGTGGATAATTGTTGCCTAATTGTATCATATATTTTTCGATTAGATTATTAAAGAAATCTCTCATAAATTTCATTTAATCATCCACATCCCAATTATGTCCATGCGACTTTATCAACCGTTACTTGTAAACTTAACAAGTACTTTGTACACAAAGATAAACAAGAAAGTCTTAAGCTTTTTAGTAAATAAAACTTATTTACTCAACAACAAGTGAGTGAAAATCCATTCAGTTTAATTTCTACATTCAATAATTTGTGTGACAGACATCATTTTCTGCATAATATGATCTTTGAAAAGGTGCCACTGAGATGTGTAGAAAAAAATCCACAAAAGGTGTGAATGAATTTAGTCATTAGAAAATAGAATAGTTTCATTATTCATCACGTAGGAGCATCTGTTTGTTTATAAAGAAATAATGAATGCGAACTTGCAGAAATTTATAATTTTTAACGACACATGCCTGATCTTGTCTTAATGCTCAGTGGAGATTGGATTTTTAAATTACCTCCACCTACGGTCTATGCATATTTATTGAATATGATCATTTGTGAATAGGAAATTCTAAGATTTTTAAATAGTAAGGCCGTGATTCATAAGGAGAATCGAGAGCAGTTCTTGTTTAACAGTTTAGCAAATATTTGAATTAGATAGATGATATTTAAAGATTTTTGGGTTGATTCTTACAATTTTTGTCTTGATTTAAATAATATCTAAATTAAATGCTAATCAGAACAATAATAACTTAACAACACTACATAGTTAACCACCGTTATATCCAAACAACCAACATTTCTTTCATTGAATCCTCAGTCAATGCTCCAATCCATATAACCTTTATCATTTCATTTCTTTATCTCTATTGATGTTATTCGAAAATCCTTTTAAAAACTTAACACCGTCTTCCAGCCGCTCGCTCAAAAGCTAAAATGTCTATTAAGTATTGAAATAATAGCGTGGAAGTTAATTACAATTAAATTCTGAGATTAAATTATGGCTCATTAATGGAAATATCGAAATGTAAATGGAATGGAATTATAATAAAAGGTTGACGACAATTTTCAACTCTATGGATATGAGTTTTTTGCATCCATATGTAAAAATACGTAATTTTTGCTATTTACTGGAAAATATTACGTCAGTAATTATGAGGATGGGGTAAGATGTAACGAGAAAAAGTAATGAAGATGTAAATTAATTTATGATGTAAAAAAAATTAATTGATTTTTTTTTCGGCATGGAGAACTGATAAGCTGATAAGAAATTGTTAAAGCATTAAGCAGGTTGTTGTGTAATTAAAATTAATTATTTTTGGTTATGTAAATTTTTTAAAAGTTGTTGAATTTTGACTCCACAAAAAACACTAAATCTAGTTCAAAGATCGCCAATATTACGCAAAAGAAATTCCAAAGAAGATTTAGCTAAGAAAATTGAATTTTTAATAATTCATAAAATATTTTTAATATCTGATATAATGACATATTTAATGACATGTTTTAGTATCGAAACATATTAATATATTTAATAATAAGTAGCTTATTATCAAATTTCATATCCAAAAGCTATTAAAACATTTTAAAGCTATAAAAATTCCTTTGCAAAAATGTTACAAAACTTCAACCCTTGTCATCACTTTTATTTAATGATTGTGGATCCTTCCAGACATAAAATATTTCATAGCCTGTCAACCTCATTTTTTTCGTCGATTAATGCATTTATTAGCCAAATTAAATCCAAATACCGTTATCATGAGCAATATTGTGTCAGTTGTCGCATCCTACATGTGCTTAAATGCTCCAAATATTTTCACTACAGACTTAAAATTCATTTCAACATAAATCTTCATATTAAGATTATGTTTTCATTAAAAATGTTTTCAAAAAAATCGCAAAGAAAAAGTTTTTTTTCAATCACGCGAAAAAAAAATAAAAAATCCCGAAAAAAATTTCTCATTTACATTTATCGTAAAAACAAATCCTGTTTAATCGATGTAAAAAGGCATAATAATATTTCGATAGCCCTACACAGTCAGCAAAAAGCAGGTTGAAATAAAAACCAGAAAAAAACGAGTAAGTTTCTCTGACTGAAAAGAATTTCATTTCATATTGATGTGGATCAGACACTCACTTTCGGCAATTAATCAAAAACCGTTACTGATAACAGCATGAAACGGTAAATAAAAACTCAATTTCTGTTTAATAAGAGGTTGGCTCTTTTTGCATTGATGGAAGTATTATGATATTTCTGGGGAACCGAGCATCAATTACTAAATGCCAACCAAATTGAGACTACAAAATCTAGAAAATCTCTAAAAACATAACATCCTCAAAACCTCAAAGTTAGTAGCCCTTGAACTTTTTTCCTTCCTTTTCCTTATAAAATTTTATTCATTTGCATACTCGATGCCATATCGCGTAAAAAACATTTATTATTAAAATACAAAAAAAAATAATAAATTAAACTGAAACAAAACCGCAGCCGTGTTATGTTATTGACCCCTGAAGGGAGGCATTAGTTCAACCTCAATATTTACACAACAATATTGAAAGGCGCGCATTGATGCTCTACCGAAAAATAAAAGTGTTCATTTTATTACATAAAAACCATAAAATATGTTTTAATCACGACTTCCAAATTGAGTTGATTTTAAGAATCACGAATTTTCTTTCTTTATAAAAATCGCGAAAAAATTAAAGATTTAATAAATCGGAAGTTATTTAATGTTAAAAATATTATAGAAGTGCATGACACATCAAATTTATTTAAAAAACTTTAAAGCAAAATTATTGAAATAACAAAAGCTCATGTAGTTGGTTGACGTTGAAGATTAGCTGTAAATAATCATAATTGCTCATGACATGCTTCCACATGTATTGTTTCACAAATAAGGCAAATTACCTTGTTGAGCATGCCTGATGGTGGCAAAAAGGCAACATTAAGTTCAAATTTTGCTTATTATAGTTATCGATATTCATCATGACATTACCTTTTGTTTCATGAGTTGAACATTCTCATATAAATTAATAATTTTTTCGAACGGTTAGAGTCTACAAACATCGAATTATAAAGATTGAGGTAAATTATTAAGAAGCGCATAGTAAAAAATTGTGAAAGAACACATTATGGGCCGATAGTTAATTAAACTGCACAAATTTTCTTGTGATTTTGCATTTGATTAATAATTAATAATTTCATAATGCATTGGTTTTTTATTTGGATGCAAATTCAAATTGTTTTGATGAAGAAATTAGATAACTGACGATGTTTTATTTTAAGAGGTTAAAGTTTCTTCAATAATTCATTAATATCTAACCAAATGTTTGTGCATTCTCTCCAAAAAATTATTAAAATAAATTTTGCCACTTTTTTCTTTATAGTGAATCACAAATTTATTAGTATTAAACTTATTTTGAGTTTTAAACTAATGAAAAACTTTTTGATGTGGAGAAAAAGATTATTTTGAAAAATTCAAATCTCAAATAACTGTTACAAATAATTGCAACCTTATTCTAAAAAATAAACACAAACTTAAAAAAACATTCGCATCAGTCTTCAATCAAATTCGAATCAATAGTTTAACTTACGAAACATATATCTATATAATAGTCCATTAAGACTCCCAACGTAAAGCATCAAAATATCAAGAAAGAGTTCATTTATTGCCATCAAAATATAATTTCTTTTCTGCTCCCATTAAATTTACAATCCATGTTCGACAACTAAAATCCATTCATCTGCAATCATCTGCATGTTGTGTAAAAATAAAAACTTCATTAATTATGCAGACTGAAATAGCCAATAAATGACTTTACCTGAACAGTTGAGGGATTAAAAAAATTCACTGAGCAGTAAATTCCCAACGTCCTTGATTCTTTAATTAAAGACAAAAGTTCAAAGGTTGACAATTTCTTATGTCTGATTACGATTTCACTATCTTCCTTGGAAATCACCTTGAAATTCTTCAGTCTCAACATCATAAACTGTAACGCACTGATGTTCTGGTTTTCATTTTATGTTTTCCTTGTGTCATGTTCATTTTTGCAAATCCGATAATGTGTTGAAGAAGGCTTATTTTCATGTAAAACGAAAAATAGCTTTACCAACTTAAAAGAGATGAAAGGTCAAAAACGACATTACGACAATTGAAAGCGCATCAATTCTTATTTTTTTATCCATTCGCTTGACCAATTCAAAAGTTCATGGTGTAGTGTCGCACAATTCTGCAATTGCAGCAGAAAATAGTAAATTTAATTATATAATGCAACATTTCTTCTCCTTCTCACTTGATTTTATACTTTATGGTATACAGTGATATTTTAATATGTACTTACATTGTTATGGACATGTCGATGAGCCCTTTGACAGGTTTTCTCCTCTTCTCTCTGTTTTGTCTTTAAGCTTTTTTTACAATTTTGTATGCACAATGTTTATAGCTTTTTGATATAGATGGAAGAATAGTACAGGCATTTACATTATAAATGTAATTCACTCTAATGAGATTTCAGTTTATTTGACTGTGGTTTCTGTTTTATTACAAAAAAAAAAAACATCTTTAAAGAAAGTTTCGTTTTGAAAAGGTTAAATGTCATTAAAAGCATGCAAGGGTCTTTATGGATCAAATGATGTTACAACTTTTATTGCAATTTCTATAGTTTAAACAAAGGAAGTAATAACTATGAAATTATTGTTCAAAATAGACATTTTTGTCTTCTCACATCTGCTTTAAGAGATAATATGTCTCTTACTGCAAACTTTTAATATTTCCATAACTATGTTCGTATACATTAAGAATTCTCTATTCAAAACCCAACAAATTTTGCTACAGATGAATATTCAAAATCTTGCAAGTAACCTCCACAAGATATGCTAATAATATAACACATTAATTTATTTAAATCTAGATGAAAGTGCATTTACTGGCCTTTGTATTAGGCCTCGCAGCAATCACCAGCGCAGATGTTCGTGATATTTTAAATAATCCTCACCAGTCAGTCTACTCGAATGCAAATTTTGCTGGCCAACCATTCACAAAACAGCAATATCAGCAACAACAGAACATACAAAATCCCAGTAAGCAGTTTTGGTGGGCAGATACACCATTTTCGCCCTTTTCAAAATCTGAAAATGTCAATACACAAAACGGTGGCTGCGGAAGCGGCTGCTTATCACAAAACACTTTACACAATACACAACAACAAAAACAACAAAATTATTATCAACATGAAATTTCAACACAAACTCACACAAAACGAAACGATCGATACATTCAAAATCCATTTATGCAAAATGTTATTGCAAGTCAACAACAGCCACATTACCAACAACAAAAACAACATCAACAGCCTCAATATCAACCGCAACAATATTCCAATATTTATGCCCAAATGGCTTCCCTTTCAGGCACACCAAACGAAGTAAATAGCTTGATGACAGACGCAACAGTTAGCCAATCCTTCTCACAGTATCGTCCCGTGCCGAAAATTCCGTGCTATGGTGCAAGTCAAGTATGTGCACCGAAAAACGCATGCCACAATGGTTTCATCAGCGAAAGTGACCTCGGATTAGTGCAGAGTCAAGCGAATGTAAGTGAATTTAACATTAAATAATAACTTTGATGAGCCTTCTGAATTTTTTTCATGATGCCAATATATTAATTGAATTATAATGAATGAGTGAATTATCTTTCGGGGTGGGACTCAGTCATGACTACGAAGGAAAAGTGTGGTCTGAAATTACTAAATTAGTATGGACGGTATGTAATGCCATCAATCATCAAATTTGAGGTTACGATTTGTAATTAAGTTGATGATTTTGCAGCACTTTTTAACTTTGAGGCTATTCGGGAGTAAATTGAGATTAAAAGGTTGAGATATCATGATGAACATGACCTTTAATTAGAAGGATGACTTTTAAAGTTGCAAAAATTGTGGATTTTTGGTTGTCATTCGAGAATCATTAATTTTAGAGCAAATGAACTCCTTGAACTTTTTTGCTCAGTCATAGAACTTGTTTAGAATCATCATTCCTTAATTCTCACAAGCAGACTCATCTTCCAAATCCGGGAATACATCCAAAAATAAAACTTTATTATGTCCATAATATCCATGACGGACGGTATGAATTACAGAAACCATGAATCTTCCTAGCTTCCTTGATTTGACAAGTTTCTTGCAAATCAAGTGATAATTGACGCGCAGCAGGGAATATTAAGAAACATTAGAAAGATTTATGTGCAAAAAAAGCTCATCAATCACTTTCAGTTTGACTTTTGAGCAATGTGAGGTGTTATATAAATTACACTTGCTGCTGTGTGACTCATATTATTTGTTTAGAATGTTTTATGGCTTTTTTTCCATGAGAACATTTTTTGAATTTTTAAGTCAAACAATAAATATTAAGATAGTTGAGCTAGGTCCACCTAGTGTCGTTAGATGGCTCCAAGCGTCTCTTACAGAATCAATCAAATGCAACTTTTTACTTGCATGTCATTTGAAACAGAGAAGTCGTCAATATAAACAGAATATAACCATTAGTCACATCCTAAACATTCCCGAAATTAAAAATATTTGCAGCTTATTGACTCTTATTGCCTTTAAATCCTGGATATAATCATAAATAAACTCAATATTCACGTTTTATTTGCTTTTTATTACTGCCTTTTTTGTAAGTCTTTCAACATTTCTGGAATTTTTTTTTTCACTGAATATTTTAAGAAATCCGGGATAGTATACAAAAATTCAAGTTCATAGTTTCTTTTGTTTTGAATCTAAAATTATCTTTTTAAAAAAACAAAATAGAATTTTGTTTACAATTTAATTCAAAAGATTAGAATAATATTTTACGACGTCATTAATTATCAATGTTGGCCTATTAAAATCTATGAAAATACCGGATTTATTGTAAGAGTTAAACATACAAAATCATCATAGACAGAAATAGAATTCAGCTATCGATCTATGCTAATTTATTCAAGCTGACCAAGCATTTTTTCTGACAAACAAACATGACCTAGGCTAGTCAAAATATTATTGAATTTTTTTTTTGAGCATTTATCACATGAGATTATTTAATTTTTTATGTCAATATTTTGAAACCGAAGAGTTGATTGTTATTTATTCTCTGAAAATTTAAGAAATTCAAATGAAACTATTGCTATGACCTAATAGCACCCATCCTGAGCACAACCAAATTCACAATATTCAATAAAATTTATATAATTTTATTAAAGACACAGTAAATTTTTAAGGAAATGTAAAAAATTTCCATAAATCACAGAAAAAAATAATCGACGATGATTGCACAGTTTGTGATAATTCGGAAGCATCTAGCTCGAGGCCTATAATCACCTTTATATCGGTACCCAATCATTACCATAAGCATGACGACGCGTGCTGTGCAATACACAACCTCATCTACCTTAAAACACAGAAAAAAATCCGTGATGCTTCATTTCAAATGCACATAAATGAACGCTCAATTGCAAATAGACTTTTCGATTGCCATTAAATAAGATAAACTTTATAAGAGTGAAATATCAAATGAACTGCTTGGCACCACTCACCTACTCTCTAGAGATTTTTTTTTTCCATTCAAGCTTCATCGATTGCGTGATGTACACGATATTGAAAGTAAGCAGCTAGTCAAGAAAGAAAAAAGTTATTCACGTGAATGCGATGAAAAGTGCTTAATTGAATATTACTGTTAAAAAAAATGTTCATTTATAGTCATTTTCAAATGTTTTACAATTAATCTTTGAGAATGGAATGGAACCGAAAAGAATTAACAAGCGAATCACATAACATGACATGATATCTGATGATCTCTGTTGTAGACAATTTACAATATTGCTTGCAAAAAAATTATAATTTGTAGGCATTGCATGGACTTTGAAAAGTGTAAAATGTCAAGATGCAGATATTCGGAATTTTGCTGCTTGATGGGGGAAACGGATGATGACAATTAAAGAGGATTATGGTTGTTGGGGTTTTTTTTGAGTAGATTTGATGTTGATTTTTATGAGAATTTTAAAGATATTTTGGCAACCAAATTTATTTTGAGAAAAGTTAAGGCTCACACAACATTAATCGTCAGATAAGGAAATATTCAGATGCCTACAATCTGTTTATTTTCATCTCATAAATCTCGTCAAAAACCCATCAAACATGATATTTAAACTTCTATATTTATCACCATCAAAAGCATTTGATACTTTAATTTATGCACAAAATGTGAACATAAAAACTTCACGATGCAACACATGTTTTAGTAGGCAATCAAGCACACTGTATTGATCCGCTGTTGTTTGCATCATTAGCTGATTTCAATGTGACTATTTTTTTGTGTTTAAAATTAAAGTTTTTCTCACTTATATTATTGCCATCTCTTAATGTCCATCTCTGTCATCTGCTTCATATATTTTAAACTTTTTCGTGTTTTTTTGGATGTCAAGATCACATTTTTTCCGGAGGTTTTCAAGCATCATCTTTCGTATTGTTTTGATGTCCATGCAGGTACATTTTCACGAGATGATTGCTTTTATTATTGTTATTAATACCTGTTTTCGCAACAGATTGATTACGTAATTGCGATAAAAATTGTTTTAATACGATTGCTTATTTTGTGTTTCTCCAATTGAACATCAATCGATTGTTAACTATTGAGGGGAATTCCATAGCACTAAACAAACAGATCCGCTCTATTCACGCATTGAAGTTTTTTGAATTGGTTTATGAAAATATTGCCTGCTAGAGTACTTTTAGTTGATATATGCGGAATCGTTTGAAATTATTAAATTTTCGTATAGTCCCGAATAGTCATGCTTAAGTTTTAGGTTCAAACTTTCAATTTAAGTCAAAAGTGCTATAGTCACATGCTGTCAAGATCATCTTCCATCATTTCAAACTATGTCTAATGAAATTAAAGCCACATGCCTTTAGAGCCATGTGATTGATTCTCTCATAGATTCTCAATTATAAATTTATTAAGAATTCGCAATCACCTCGAAATACCTTACAAACATTATAAATGACGTACCTTAAAATTTTTCTCGGAATTCGTGAATAAAAATAAAAATTCTTGTTTACGGTCTATAATAGCGCTTGGATAGCGAGAAAATATCATTGTTATTAATAATTATGTAATTTAATTCATATCTTTATTTTGAGTCTTTGACTTTTTCTTCTTCCTTCTCTTCAATCTTTTGAATTTATTTGAAAGAGATTTTTTGCGTACTTAAAAAAAATTTGTGAAAAGGTTTGAGAAATAAGGAATTTTTGATGGCGCGAGAGAAGAGGGTTTGTAGCACAGCATTAGAAGTTTATTTAAGTTTTAAACGATGTTTCTGGAATTTTGAACAAAATTAAACCACAGCAAATGCCATGATGAATCCTCAAAAAACCCATAAATCACAAAAAATTCCGTATTTCTACAACAAAACGAAGCACCACACGAGAGCAAAACCATTGATCCCGGAAAAAAGTGATTTAAAAAAATTGAGAATATTTATCGTTGTCATGCATGCAAAATTAATATGATGGCTATCAATTTGTTAAATTTCAATCACATCGTGTAATTTAATTCGATAAAAAATACCTTCAACCAATATAATTTTTCGTATCGTGCTCATGGAGTGTGCTGTAATGAAAATTGCAATTGAGTTGGTGTAAATTATGAAAGAAAAAATTTACATTGTAGTCATTGGAGACTCCATTAGTAAAGAGAAAATTACGAAAATCGAGCTGAAAATTTAATTTAATGTCATACATGTTGTTAAGTTGATTATAGAGCAAATTAAAAAAAATAAGACTTTGCTAGATACTTATTTCATAATTCTCTTTTTAATGTGAAAGATTCAACATTTCAATCAAAAAAAGTTGAATCTTCCATATCCATTCACCATACTATGCATCTATTTCTATTATTTTTGGCTATACAATATCCGCAAAATTTCTATTCAATTTTTTTTCTTTCTTCTCTTTTCAAAATTCTATATTTTACACTTATCATAAAATTCTATCATCTTCGGCACCTGAATTAAATCATCGTCACTAAAACTTCAGAATTGTGATAGCGAGTCAGAAGCATGTTGTAATATTCAACCAGTCGAGCGTCACTTCGATCAACCAACTCCATGTTCTGAACCAAACTCAGCTTGTGTGTCACCAAAGCACTGCTTCAATGGCTACATCGATCAATCAGCTGAAGAAAAAGCCATTCAGAGCCCGGTAAGTTGAGACTTTAAACCAGTTTTTCGCATTTCTTCATTTATTGACGTGCATGAAAAGCATTTTTGTCATTTTATTTGGGTTTGAAAGCATTTATTGGGTGAATTATGATTTTTTTAAAATCGTGAATGAAATTGACCAATAATGAAAATGGTATACAAAATTCTAAAATTAACAATAACTTTATTATGCAACAAAATCTATATGCAATACTCTAAATCCAATAACAAGTTGTCAAAAAACATACAAAAATCGTGAATTTCCTCATTTTGCGTGATTAATGTCTCAAAACATATCAGCATTCCTATCCAATGACATTTTTTTCTTCTCCCATTAATACCTCCGATAAATGCGTAATGGATGCACGCTGGAGATGTGTAAACAACACATTATGATAGCAACAGTCATTAGTTTGCAATAATGATAAATGAGGTCTATTAATCGTATCGGAGTTTGAAGGAACATTTACTTACTTACTTACTTCGCTGGCCGTACAGATCAATTGTGATCCATGGCCTCCCTTAGATGGCGCCTGAAGCTGACTCTGTCGCTGGCTTCCGTTTGCCAATTAACCATACCAAATGCATACATTTAGTCATTAATAATTCAAAAAAGCAATGTCTGTGAACTTTTCGCTTCATTGTTGAAACATTTTCATTTTAATTTGCCTCAAAAACGGTTTTTACTCAGCAATTAAATAATTTTATGCCTTATTGCACTAGCAATGGGTCTCTTCTTTCATGCCCTCAAGGCAAATGTCTTGTTAGTTCAGTAGGCCACAAAAAGACTTAATATTCAACATCGTTTAATCAGTAATCGTACATCTTCATCATCCATCACAATCTTAATAAATCGACTTGATGTCGTAAAATGTAAGAAACATAAAAAAGTATAAGCTTGATGTCTTTGCGGCTCATGCAGTAAGCTTAACATCGACAGCGAGGGAAAAGATTGAAACAAAAGATTTTGTTGTTTATCGGTCGGCACTAATCAATCAAATGAAATTATTGCAGTTTTAATGAAGTTTTTATTGTAACTTGGGTAGGAATCTGAGATAGTCTGAGTTAATAGCAAAGCTTGCTGACTAGGTTGCTTTATTTATACTTTGGCATAGTTTCAGGAAGCTCTCCTCAATATTTGAATTGTCACACAACCTACAAACTCATATACTTCCTTATTTTGTACGATCATCTGAATATAATATCAATAAACCACAAAAAAATCCAAGCCACTTAAGCCTAAATTAATGATGTGAAGACAATAAACAATATCACACAATTGTGCCTATTCACGCACCGTATTATTTTTTCAATTAACAAAATTTGATTCTGTCAATTTTCCTAGTCTCAGGCATTAACATTGTTGCAAATAATCTTCTAAGTTATTTACAATCTGAGAAGTAATTAGTTGTCAATTCTTTCGCCTCATTACACCAGAGTCTTCATCGTTTTCCTCGCTTCGATCGCTAAAAGCTTTAAATAATCCTCAATGAAATTGAAATTAGCATATGGAAGTGCTTAAGGTTACAAACACTCAAAAAATTAATGTCTCTAACAACATGTCTTTTTTTTTATTTTATTGTCTTATTATTACAATTTTTTTATTGCTGTTAAATTATTTTGTGATGGAATTTCTGGTCTCATTATTGGATTATAGAGGAAGTTGATGACACGTCAATGTTTAGATTCATAGATGCAGGAGATTTATGTTGATGGATGAAGATGTTGTCTTTAAATTAATGACTTAACGCTTTTAATTCTGTAAATCCTTTAGGAATGTGTCTATGGGTAATAAATTTTGCATAAAGTACCTTCAACATTGTAAAGGTCTCATTAGTAATGGTATTTGAGCAATTCTTAATGGGACTAGAAAGGTTTTTATTCTTTTGTGGAGATTTTTTGATATACTTGAAGTCGTATAGTCTGTTAAGCACATCAAGAACTATCGTTAATATCTTTATACTCCTAGATCAGATTTCAATGACAGGACTGTTACTTATAATGTTGTAAATTCAGTATTTTGACCATCATGAGCTTCAATATTACCTTCATTTAATTAATATCATGAGCTAAACTCATCATTTCTCACTTACTAACTTAATATCCAACAACATCTGCTTCCAATCATCAAAATGACTTAATTGAAGCACGAACTTGAATGCATTTCTAAGAAGACCGATCAAAAAACTTCCCCATTATTGTCAATTATGAAATTAAAACCATTCGTCGCTACTCTCAGACTCATCAGCGAACCTCAACTCTTTCATTTTAATTCACGTCCATGATTCACGACTTGATTGCGTGACACATGAAGATTTTTATTAAAATAATAATCATTGTAATTGAAAAATAAAAGTGAGAAGAGTTTGTTGAGATTTAAAATCAGCAGGAGAAGGTAGACATGATAACAAATTACCGGTAGTTGCGTTTTATTAAAAATTAGCAATTAATGTTCACAAATTGTCAACCTTTTGAGTAAAACCTTCGAAACGAGGCTCTTGATCAAGAGAATGTTTCAAACGGAGATAAACTTAATAGACTTAAAGGATATCTTGAACAACAGCTACGTATATAACACCAAATGTGTTATTTTAAGATTTTATAAACCAAGAAAATTTCAATTACCTTACGTAATGGATAAAGAACTTTTCAACTTCCTTAGTGTCTATTTCTAAGTGACACACCAGTTAACATCTCTAAAAATTATTGTGATGATCCCAATCTCAATGCTGATTAAAAATGTGCATAAGACTTCTCACTTTCATTGCGATGCTGAATAGCGTAAAATTGCATATTTCGGTCACTCGAATTTAACCAAACAAAAAGAGACTCGACGATTCCAGTGAAAGTTTTTTTTTCGCTAGCCTTTGCACTCACTGCCTGATCTCATTCATTTGTGGGCACTCAGTTTCTTTGTTATGTATACATACACATATCTTTCTCTCTATATAAATATATGTATGAGCAACAGGCAAGCATGATGATAAAAAGAATTATGAAGATTGCGCAATATTACTCGCTCTTCTTTCTCCTCCTTCTCATTTCTTTTGTAGTCGATGGCTGTGCTGAGAAGAGATAAAATTTAATTTTTTTGGAACATTTTGTTTTGGCAAAGACTCATTATTCTTGTTCCTTTGTACTGCTGCTTTGAGTGCTTTTGAAGACTGGAATTCTTGGGCACAGACAATGTCCAAGGGCGCCTACTAAACTCAAAATACGAAAATTCAGGATCCGCAGAACTCAAATAACCTCCACACAAAAGTCACCTTATGTACTTCCAACTTATACAATTCATTAACCTCAACATCCATTATCCACATCAAAAAAGCCGAAAAATAATTTTTAAACCAAAAATCTCATCGCCACCCAGTTCAACATACTACTTATGTTATTAAGTCTAATCATACTCATCTTAATTCCATTTCACACCATAATTTTCATACCTCCTTAATTAATTTCGTATTTCTTCATCGCACTTGTGTCATTGATGTTAAATTTGTGGCTCTTCAATCTCTTTTTATGAGACAAACTGAAAAATAAATAATTTTGTGTCTTCAAGGTGGACAAAGAGTACAATTAATGATCATAGTGGTGCAAAAGTGAATTTAAAGTTAACATCGACAGTAGCAGAAATAATAATGATCATGAATTACCATACACGATTTATTTAATATAGTTGACAACTCTATCTCTGTTTATAAATCTTCCTTTATTGCCATATTTGCCTAGTTTAGCAAATTGCCATAAATTATTAGCAACTGATTGTAGATGTCATGACGAGGAGATTTTGAGGTTAGTTTTTGCTATGTTGATTCGTGACGCATTGATAATTGAGATTTATGAAAAGAAGTTAAGAAGCTTGATTACGTCAGTTCTGTTAAGGTGTTGATAGTTTGGGTATTCTATTTTTTTTTTATTAAGCATGTTAGGTTTTAAAATTCCTAAATAGATGATCTGATAAACTCTAGCCAACATCCTCAAACTAAATACAATGAGTGCATATTGCAAATTTCTAAGAACCATAAATCATCAATAACTTCTATAATAATCATCACGTTGTAAAATGAGTAAAATTTTATTAATTTTATTACCTCCTTAATAGCTAATTAAATTTCTCGTATGATTAATCTTCAACATGGCTTAATACTTGTGCTAGACAAACTTTTATCGTTCATATTTTTTTATGCAAATTTTATTGTTTTAATTACACCTTTCCTGGCCTCCTGCTGATTTCCTTATGAATGTTTTATGCAAAAATATCAATTAATATTAAGAATGTTCAATTAAGCGCTTCCTATAAATTATTCTTACAAAATAAATCATCAATTAAGCATGTCACATATCAAAGCTTCAATCTTTAGTAAAAAAAATGTTTTTTAATCAGCTTGAAACTCGTTTCTGTCGTATATACAAAATGTTCATCGATACATTATTGTGCATTTGCAAAGCTACGAGTTAAGAAAAACTTACGAAATTGCATCCTACGAAATAGCTCAACTATGAAGATTCCAATAATAAATTATGTAAATTATGGTCGATTTTTTTTCTTCTACAATATTTTTCTGAATGAATTCTGCTCGTATTTCACATACACACTTCTGCTCTTTGTTTTAACGCTATGTGGCGCCTCACATGACTGATCATCGATCGACCGTCTTAATTTATACGATTATGATGAGGATCATAGTAATGTAACTGTAATTGCAGCTTTTTCGTAATATCGTTTTTGTGTATATTGATGATGTGCTTACTATATGTATTTATACGGTTGCTGCCTTAATTTAAATTTATAATTTTTTATGCATGCATTTAAAGTTGAGAAGTTCTTGAAATTTTTTTGCTATGACTTAAAATTTTGAGGGGATTTTGTGGAATTTGCAGTTGACAGATTATCGAATTAATTATTACAAGGCAGAAAAGTCATTCATCATGTTCAATGGGTTTTTTTTATACTGTCAATAGCGTAATTTATCAATTATTAATGATATTGCTTTGGTGATA